CTAACTATGAATGGAAACAACGAACACTAGGCAGCACCTATGTACTCGTATATGGGACATTCCAAGTTGTAATAATCTCTGTAGTCCATGTATGTATACAATATATGCGTATACGTATTACTTATTATTGTTGTTATTGTTATTATCACTTGAGTGTTTGTGTGTCAAAGTGACGTACTTTACAAATCTCCTATAATATAACAAATTTAAAGCCATATAGGTAACAGTTTTCTCCTGTTCGCCCGCACGCACGCATGCACTCACACATGCGTTAGAACGAAATTAAATGAAATTTGTCCCATAGCAATATTTGCGCGTAATCGCGTTTAGTGCGTCACTAAAAAAAACACCATCACTCATATACATGTATAGTATAGAATTAGAATACCTATCCGAGTGACCGGTTGGTTATTATACCTACTCTGGAGAGCGGACAAATTGCAGACGACAGTCATCGTTGCATCTGACTCGCATTCAGCGCCGCGTCGCCGCAGAGTACGCATGTCTGTTATACTTACCTAATATACTTGATTTTGTTTTTATGAAATTAAATATCGTTGTTGTTGTCACAAACGCGTACAATTTGTGGTTGCTTAAAGTGTATTATATTCGTGCATTTTTCATCGGCCGCCGTTCTTTGTTTTAATTTATTCGTCCTCGTATCTAAATATTTCATATCATTTTCACTCGAATTCCTCAATCATGACGACCACAGCTGCCGTTGAAGCGTCAAAATTGGACCGTACCGATCCCCGGGTGCGAAAACTCGTCTACAACATGTACAGAAACGTTTTGGGGAATTATAACGATAAAGCCAACGCTATGTTGGACGCGTTGCCGGAACACCAAGTGACCCAAGACCAAGGGATCGATCGACAGCTCTCCAGTATATTGTAAGTCTGCGCGGGATTTGCTTCCTGCAACCGGATGTCAATACATTATACATATAAACACTAATACAGTTTACAAAAAAGAAAAACTGTTTATTGATGCCACTATATACCTCTATAGTAAATAATGTATTAAACGCAATCTACTATAATTATCTCTATAGGTTTTCTATTTTTTTCTATCCATTTTAAAAATAATTATCATAAGAAACGTTTTTTTTTTTGCACTTTATTTTCATTTTCTGCATGCTGATCTTTTATGTGACAATTTTGTTCATACCATATACTGCAGCCATTATGTTAATTTTACCCGTAGTCAACGTTTGTATTATTTATTTGTTATCCGCTTTAAGATTTCAATATTATGGACATCATCATTCCTATTCCATCGCAACACACTACGTGTATTTAATAAATAAATGATATGTAGATACATAAACTAATTAATCTTTTTTTTTTAAATAGATGTTCCGATATAAATTATTCTTTGTTCGGATTAAAAATATTTGCATAGGTTTCGAAGACTATAGTTATATTTTAAATGGGAGTACCTATCATGTCTATAATTTTGAAATTGACGTATGATACTAGGAATAATGCTCCTAAATACAATTTTAAGTCGTATTTCATGATACAATCTACTCTATTTTGAAATATCATTTTATTTTTAGTATGGTACATATTATTATCTGAAATAGTTTTTTTGTATAATATTATACATTTATCATAGGCTTGAATAAATTTACATGTAATATTTAATGAAATGTAAATTTAACAGAAACTTATATTTATATTTATACAAGTGGTTCTTATATGCAAATTTAAATATTGCTACTATTATTTATCATGCAGTATGAATAGATAATCTTATTTTACAATACAGTACATGTACTACATTACTACATTATCAATATCAATTCAGAAAGTATAATATTTTAATTGTTTTGATTAGCCATTATGAATATTTGATTATGTCAGTGCCTATCTTTTTAATATAGCACGATTTTTGATATCAAATTTTTAGATTTAATTAATTTTAATTTGAGGTCGAGGTGTTCGTAAACAATTATATCGTTAATGTTTGTTACTGTAAATTACTTTATTTTGAGTTTAAAACAATTTACTATTAAGTATTTTTTTAATTTTTATTTATCTTGAATCTTGATTCATTAATAGGCTATATTATAACTACACAACATGTGATGTACTGATGAGTCATATCGTTTGGCGCACATGCTTGCATGAGTTTGTGTTTTTTATTTATCAAGGATTGTGAAAGATGTAGGATGAGATCATATTCAACAGGAGGATTTTCTTTTATGTTTTTTTTGAAAATCATATGATAATATTGTTGACTGTTGTATATTATAATGTTGCGTTCTAAGTTAAATGATTGTGAAGTATGACATATTATAATTTAGAGTAATGTATAAATATATAATATACCTTATTTATATTGATCATAAATTCGAGGAAATGTTTAATTAATCAATGTAATATTATTTTCAAAATTATTGGAGACCCTTGAGAAATACTTAAGTACTTTTCAAAAGTACAGCGGGATTTTTCAACTTCTTTTTGTAAAAAACAATCTTTTGACATACATGAAAGTTATTTTAAAATTATTTGTATGGTTATATTAGTAGTTTGAATACTAAACTACTATAACTACTGCTTGGAATATTAGTTAAAAAATATAAAATGCTATACAGTGGCGTATGCAAGATTTTTCAATAGAGTGGGGCTTAAAATGTATTATAATTGTATTTTTATTTTGTCCAGTCTAATAATTTTAGAGTTTTAGACGCAGTTTTCTAGTATGATCAGAAACTTTGATGGAGGTTTTTGGAAGCCAGTTGGGACATTTTTACGTTTTACCATTTCTGGGAGGTTTAAATTGAAAATTCTAAGTACTTTTTAAAATAGGTAGGAAAGACAAAAATAAATAAATGAAAATTTGTTAAAACTATTTGGTAACCTTCGTCAAACCATCTTCGTTTGGATTGTGTTTGATTAATTTTAGTTTTTTTCTAAAAGTGTCAATAAAAAAATGTGTTCTGTTAAAAAGCTTAAAAATATATACTGGGTTCTTAATAAGTCATAAGTTTTTATTTTAACTATTTTAAATATTAGCGGTACATGGGCATTGGGCACGTTTATTTTTTGTAAGCATTTAAAGTTCAAATGTTGACAAAACTATGATTAATTTGAATTTAAAAATGTATAAAACATTAAATTTGTATAGACAATGCTTGAGCATTTCATACAAGTAGTTTGTTCTTTCACCAAAAAATTACTGATCATTTTAGGAGAATTGGTACGCAAATTCAATGTTTTTGGAAAAATGAATTCAATATACCTAGGTAATATTATAGGTGGTATTATTAGTTATTGGTTTTAGCTAACCCGTAAGATGTATATTAATTTACTAGTTGATGATAGTGAAGTTTGATGAATATTTTTTTTTAAATAATAGGTAATAATATTTGGCAAGAGGGAGGGGGGCTCCAGACCGTTAGCCCCCCCACCCTGCGTACCACACTGATACTATATAATATTATAATGAAGGCCATCGTGACAGTCAATTTTCTAATCAAATGCCTTTGCCTTATATTGAAATTAAATTAAGTGATGGGAGTGATACGACATGCCCCTTCCTTTAATGTATTACAAATTATAGGTACTTATTTAGAGTTGGATGTCGGTGTAATGGCTAATCGTAATTACAATTTATAACGAATACATATATATATGTTTATATATACATGTTAATTTGTTATAGTACAGGACGTAGGTATGTAATCAATGGCATATAACTTAAAATAATAATATATTATATAATTTATAAATATCTCTTCAAACAAAAACATTTAAGATAATGACTATTATTTTCTATTTCATATATATTATTTTTTATTTAAGTTTTTTTTATTTCAATGCCTTATTACTTACCAATCTTTTGAAGATGTTTTATCGACGGTTTTGTTGTTTATATATTTTTGGACTTGATTTGACGTACTTGACTTGACGACTGACGAGTATTATAAACATGCCAAAATAGAGACAAATCTATACATTTTGTTAATATGTTATGATACAGAATTGTGTACAATTATAAGGGGGCAAAATATAGGTAATGGTTGTAAATATATAGTTTGAGACATCTGCAGGCTCTCAAGTTCATGAGCCATGGCCCATGGCTATATAAATGTTGGTAATATATTTAATTTTATTACTGGATTATTATTATATAGACTTTAGTTTAACATGACCAATTCTTTTTTTGTCGTTTCGGTGAACGAAATATTTCCGCGTACGTTGATGCAGTTTCCGTTTTCCGGAGCAATAGTATAGTATAGTATAGTTTAGTAATCTAATCAAATTACCGTTGACCTTAACGACGCGCAATAATCGTAAATACAGAAGATATAAACAACCGGCAAAAAAATTCAACGTGATAATAGGCAAGGTTGTAAAGTACATATTATGTGTTTTCTGTTTGAAGAGTAAAAAACTAAACAGCGGCGCCTGTCCAAGGACACGTGCAAGGCTGACCCTGCAAAACGTCATACGTACCTATACAACAAGCAGATACTAAACAGATTACTCGTGTAGTAGCAGACGGTCGACCGGGCTCTTGAGTAGAGTAAATATAATATGGCTGATTTCGGTCCAAATATGGTAGCTTGTCCCCCACAATGACAATTTCAAACATGAGTGCATAATGTATAATATACTAGCAAGCTATTATTAAATCACTTGATACACAACATAACATATACACATGGTATGCGCAGTATATAATATTAAACTCACCATAAAAAAGCAGAATTTTGCAGGTTCATAATGTGTATTCGCTCCAAAGATTTTTAAATGTTTACCTATTTAATAATATATAATAGTTACTCCCTATCATTATGTAGTTTGCCTTAATTATAGATATATGATACGATCGTGCAAAACTTGTCATGTATTATAATTTGCATTTTATTAGATTTATTTCGTGCGTCCTACTGCGTAAGCTATATTTTTTAGTCCAACTGCATTTTGCATTAAGTGAATATATTATATCAATAATTCAGTATCACCGTTTGTTTTGATATTATTTAGGCATCAAATAGGAGCGAACGACTTAGCCGCTGGAGATATGTCCGCACCACCCCCTCCGGCGCCGCCACCACTGCAATATTCTGGTAATGAAAATAAACCATGTTTATTAAATATATTATCCGTTTTGTATTTATACACAATATGGATCGTTGTGTGAACGACGTTTAGACTTTGTTTAGAACATTTGTAATTTAGCGTTATGTAAATTGATGTTATTTGTTTACAGGAGGTACAACTCAAGGTGGTCCACCCCCACCACCACCTCCACCGATGTTGCACAGTGGACACATTCCAGCTATTAGAATAAAAACTGAGGTAAATTATTACTATGATTTATTTTTTCATGTACCTATATATTATATACCATCGTCCATCATTATAATCAAAATTAATCTCAGGAAATCTGTGAAAACCTAAATACAATATAACTGTTACCTTTTGAAAATATTAAAATATATTATTTTATATGTTTATATTATTTAAGTTTTATTGTTCAATAAAATATAATTGTAAAATAAATTAGTAGATTTAAAAAGTAAAAAGTAAAAAACTATAAACATTAAAAATTAAAAACAACATTAGCCAATTAAATTTGTAGTAAAATATTATTAGGTGCTCGCACGTAAGAACAAAATTAAATATGGGTTTATGTATTGTAATTTACTTTGTTAAAAAAACTATTGTTCATTGCATTATTTATAGTATGTCAAAAATTGTGATTGTAAAGTGCTATTCGAACTTGGATAAAATGTTTTTCAATTGCATGTATGTGTAACGCGTTTATGATTAAAATAATTTATGATGCAATTGTTTACACTTTTTAGTACGTTTTTACTATATAGTTAAATTTAAAGTCAGAACAATAATAAATATGCATGTATAAAGAATTCACAAGCCACTTTTAACTACCTATATTCATGAATCATAATTCATAACTCAAGTTATTAAAATTTAAACTTTTAAATATTGATACTTTTTATCTTATGAAATTAATTATTTTGTTTAATAGGAATGCGTTATAAGCAAAAAATGTTAAGTTTTATTGAACTAATTAATAATAGAGAAAATTGATTATTAAACTATTACAAAATTTAAACCTTTATGAGCCGTTAAACATAATATTCAAATTATAGATATTCATTGTAAATATAAATTTTTTCTTTTTAATAAATATTATAATACAACTCTAAACCTACTCTAACAGTCTAACCTTACTAAATTTTAATTAATATCGATAATGAATTTTTTTTTAGCTGAATGAACCTAGAGAAATACCATCAACTATACAAAATGCAATGGCTACCAAAGACAAAAAACCATTTACGTATCTTCCAGGTGGATTAGACTTGAGCGAGATCAGAAGTCCTCGAATGCAAAGGCGATTAGAAAGAAATGCCCAGACTCCACCTAGCCCGGAACAAGTACCTCAAAAATCTCCTGACTATCAGCAACAACAAGAGGCGAAACCAAACTTTGAACAAAAACCAGTGTGTAACGTGCGCTCTGCTTCGGAAAGAGTATGTCTGTTACCCCAAGTTCAGCATCAACCACAGCTAAATAAGTCGCCTACTCCTTGGATGCAAAAGGCTGCGCAAATTCAACCCTCCCCTGCTCCGTGGACCCAAAACAAAAAAGAATATGTTGATCAGGTGATTATTTTTGAGAACCTACCTTCAAATATCAATAATTGCTTGGTTTAAAAAAATAATTGCACATTAATGAACATTTTAATTGTTATTTATTTCGTACATACATTTCATATTTTGATTGTCATAAATAATTGCTTAGGTTGATAAATCACAGGAACGAGTTGTACCCATGCGAGTTGAAGTTAATAGACAAATACCAACACAACCACTGAAGAATAATATAAACCACTCGTACGATTCTGAACCGATACAAGGACGTTCGTTTAAAGTGCTTCAACAAATTACCGAGCCAAAAGGTGACTAAACAAAATTAATAATGGTATTATATGTGACTTTATTATTTTTAGTTATTAAAACAACCATCTCTGAAGCTAAATTATTATTAATATCATTCGTTACAATTTGGTTATTATTTTAGATTCAAAGCGGAGCTATGAATGTATTTGCTTTACAATGTATATTTTTTTGTTTTTCATCACCTTTTGGAACAGTAAAAGTGCTTCATTTTATAACTTTTAGGGTGGTTACTTGATTAACTTTACTGGATCAATTAGTACTTTAGGGATCAAAAGTAAAAAAAATATTAAGAAAAATTTAGACAAGTGGCTACTGGTCTGTAAAGGTAGTTGTCGAATGGGGATCACTGTAATTGATGTGTTAAAATTTAATTCAATGCCATGTATCATTGTATCTATAAGTATGAAAAACAATTCTGAGCGGAGACGGCCTGTCAGTCTATATCAAATATATTTCATGAAAATATGTTTTTTGATATTCCTATTAAAGTAATTTATATTGCTAAATCTATTAGGTAGGTTGATTAAATTTTTCCCGAAAATATTGCCTTTATTATATTATTAATATTTAATCACTATAAAAGTTTATATTTATATTATCATATTATATTATGGTTATTAACTTTTGAATTAATACCATCTCGCTGTAGAATAGTGTCAATAGGTTCATGGTATAAATAAATATAAATAATAAATAATAAAATAATTATAAATACTAAATACTCAATAGGTAATATCTTAAAATGAATCCAAATATTTTGAAAATGTAATTATACTAAAATGTATAATATACGTAAATGTTTCAAACTCCCACGAATAATGTTTTTGAATCAAAACAAAATAATTAACATCGTTATTCTTCATTTAAATATGTAATTTCGTCCAAATTTGAACTTCAAATGTCTATACTCGTAAAGGAGAAATGTGTATATATTATATTTTTTTAAAGTGTTGGTTTCAGTATGAATTGTTTACGAGGAACCTTGTATTAAATGTTCAAGCCTTAGTTGTTAAAATTAAAAATGTTATACATTTTTATTATATTATATACACAATAGAATTTTAAAAACGTTTTGAATAATTTTAAACCAATCATAGGTATCACCACATTAGTGTATATTTCATACTGTACGCTCCACCCCAGGGGCTGCTCCAGATACATGGCTGAGAAGGGCTTAGTCAAAATTTTCGATATTATAATTTATTTTTTTTGTAATTTATTTTTTAACAATATACAATTTTATAGAGATATGGTTTGGGTGGGGGCATGGCCCACAGGGCCTCCCTTAGAACCTGCACCTCTGCACCAGACGATAATGAGCTTCAGTTAATAACAATGATAGAATATAATAAACAATAGAAAATAGTATATTCGATGTTTTTGTCAAAAATTAGTCAACTTACCGGATTCATGGAATATTAATTACCTACTAAGAGTTTTATCATTATTTATATAAACTATGAAATATACTTAGAAATGGAGACTGACTCATCATTTCCGCTAAGATTAGTTTTCGTATGAAATTAGTTATCATTGAATTCAAATTTAACGCTTCCATTTTAATGACTTTCTCATATTTGAAACCTACTATACAGCAGATAGGTTTTTGTTCTTTAGAAGTGACCATGGAACGATGCTTACTACTTGGATGTTTTTAATAAATTATAAGTAATTGTGAAGTTTATGTATAATTCAATACTCACTGTATAAACTATAAATAGGTTTTGATGTAGAACTGAATTATTTAAAAACTGAAGCTGAGAGCAAAATGTCAAAATGTATATTCCTTATATACTTTTATACCTATTATACATAATTAATAATTGATTATAGATTAAACATTCAAATGACCACGTACTTTCATACAATATAATATGATACATTTGGATGTAGACACTTAATTATATTCTACAATAATAAAATTACATTGCAGAATATCTATTATTTCGGTACCTAATACTTTTAATGAGTCATATAATTTATAAACATATCTCGCATATTACTTATCAGCTAGTATTACGTTTGATATAGTAATTTTTAAATTTCTACTAATTCAATAACCTATTTCTTTTATTCAAGTTTTCATTTTTTATTTAGCAGGCGTACTATATGATGGTACTCAGCCCTATAATAGCCAATCATTACCCTTGTCTGAACTCAGAAAGTTGCAGTTAAGTGATGACGACCGATCTTTCATGAACAAGGTTAAATCTCAAGGTATGTATTCTTACAAGAACTTTATGTAGGCATCCGATAAGTAATAAATATCCTCAGAATATTTCAATATCTAATCGTTATAGCTAATAATCTAGACACAGAAAACCCAAGATATAGAGGTGGCTCTATACCTTCCAAGATATTCAAAGTTTTGGAAAATAGTGGTAAACATTTATGTTATTATTCGGTGGTGGTAATATAATACCTGGTATTATACTAAGCAACACGCTCGCTTTTTTTGGCACGTTTGAGAATCGGTTCAATTTCCGACTTAATAAAAAAGGTTAATACATATATAGAATGATATAACTAGGTACCTATACTCATTCAACTACAATTTTTTTTTTATTAATTTAAATTTATGTATACATGTACAATTAAATGGTTAATAATATATTAATTAAGGGAATTATTTTTGTATATTGCGTTTATCAGTTGACGATGATAAATTTTTACACAACGAAACGGACCCTCGTTACAAAGGTGCGTCGATTCCGTCTAGAAGCTTTCGAATGTTGCAAACATTAACGAACTCTGCACCTGGTAAAAAAATGTTAAATCAAATCCATGTGATTGTCGACAGTTTATCTACTAACAAAACATAATTGTCGTGATAGATTTAGGCTACGCGCTAGTATATCGCTATGCTTCGAGCTTCGCTTTAGTTCATATTTTGTTTGATTTCGTAAATGTCATATTGAATTTTTAATTTTGCAGTTCCGGTGGACAACAACTACAAACAATCTGTACCGATAAACCATTATGTATCAGGTAAAAATACATTCGTCAACATAATATTATATAGTCTAATATATTAATTTTTAGTAGAACCTGTAGAATCCAAAATGTATGTACCACCGTCAGAGAGACCTGTCGTCTCGGAACCGCATAAGTATACCGGTGGCTCTATACCATCCAGATCATTCAGAATGTTACAAGCTATGACTGGCCAGAATAACGGTAACATTTCATAGTTTAACATTTATATTTAACTAAGACGGATAGTATTAATGAAATCAGGCGATCAAATATATGATACAATGTTTATACTCAAGTTATATTTTAATTCCATGGAATATCTTTATAACAGTTAATTCATTATAATTATTTGCCAACTCTTGCGGTGTTTGTGGGACAATTGCTTATATAATTATTAATGAATAGCACTTTCTTCAGTTCTATCGTATTATTTTTTATCTTGTATTATTATGAAAGCATTTACAACTTTATATTGATAATTAATGTATTATTTTTAAGGTTTTTTTATGCGAGGCTAGTATAATTTGAAGCGTCGAATTAATATTTAATATTAATTATTTAGTTATAATTATGTAGTCTTGTAGAAGTAAAATCATTCTCACTGACACCATCTATACATAATATTTGGTAGCACAAACACTGAAAATCAACTAAATAATATAGCTATATACATTTTTAATACTTACGATATATACCTAAATGGTTTTTCGTCTCAGAAATATATAGTTAAATTAAATTGTATCATTATTAATTATTTTAAATATTATTTTGTAACTCAAAAGTCAATCGATCTCATAAAATGCTGAAGTGTTTAAACCTCATATTGAATGATTTAAACGTTTATAAAAATGTATGTAATATTTTAATAATCGTAATTCATTGTTACATTTTTAATGTAATTAACTTTGTATAATATTAAAGACTACATTATTATAGTAATTTTACATTTTATTTAATATGCCGAGGAGTTATACAAAACTAAATTTAGAGATATTGGCGTATTTACGAAGATTTAATTAGGTAAAAGGGGTCTGTTTTGAAAAGTTTTGTAGTTGATACTCAATTGAACTTAAGAAAAACTTATAAGTTCATTTTACATTTTACTTTTAATTTGCTTTTAAATGTGTTTGTTAGTAAAATATAATATATATTAACCTTTTTAAAAATATTTGTTGTAGAAATAGTTTAATTTTATTACTGAAAGATAAAATATTATTTTAAACTTTTTTTTGTATGTGTGAATTTGTTTTAGTATTTAATTGCTTTTTATTTAGAATAATATTTGTCTTTGTTTTTTTATTAATGTGCATTTTATGAGTTAAATCATACTTACATATGTTTGTTAAGTTTATTTATTATTTTAATATTGACAATATGTCTATATGTTTGTTTATATATATATTTTTTTTTTGAGAAAGTAAAACTAGAATAAATATACATAGTTACTTTTTTAAAAAATTTAATGCTGTCTAATAATTAATTAATGAACTTCGTAAGTAACAAAAAAAACTGTAATTAACATCAATGAAAACACTACACCACGTCGGCATCGGGCTGTCTGCCACCGTTATCGTATTTATGTCCAAATAAAATTTTATATTTTGTACCTATACTGTCATTAGAATATTCTTTACGTAATATTTTTTTTAACGATATTTACATAATCTCGAATTCGTATTATGTGTGTTCGTGGGCGGTACCGTGGTGGACATTATACAGTTTAATATACATACAACATACACTTAACATACATCGTTAAATAATGAAATATAGTTTATGCATTGATCATCAAATATCTGTAATAGTTATAGTAAATTGTGCAAATAAAAAAAGAAAGTCGAATTGTGGAATTCGCATCAAGGACGACGTTCTAGTACTGCAGTGAATTGCGATTAGCAAGCTCGGCCGTTATTTTTGTTTTTTTGTTTTGTTTTGTAGAAGAAGAAGAACAAGAACAACAACAACAAAATGACTTACAAAACCTGCAATCGCATACCCCTTATCCTTTTCTCTGTCCCGAATTTTGGCAACATTACAATTATCTAAAGGAATTTCACGACTGGCACTGCACCGGTTCTACGTCTGTGACCGATCAGCAACAATACCACCACCACCAACAACAACAACAACAACAGCAATATCATCAACAACAATTCACAGTACAGCAATCGGTGCACACCAGCGTCGCGTCGGCGGCAGACACCATCACCGCAACGTATGCCGGTCACGTGTTGAACACCATAGCCGAAGAAGAAGCCGTCGACGAAGAGAACGTCTGCTCACCGTACGGCGACGATACAGACTCAAGCGAGTGCGAAGTGACGGTGACGGTGACGGTGACGTTGCCGCCGAAGAAAGCTGTCTCCGAGACGTTGGCGGGTGGAGCAGTAAAGGAACAGTCGACGGCTAGTTCACCGGTGGACTTTTGGCAGCAAATCAACGACGGTGCAGGCGAACCGGCCATATCGGCCGTGTCAGCCGTATCTACATCGGACAGCGAAGACGAGTGTTCGGACGATGAGGAGCCGTCGGCCGATGTCTGTGAGCCGGAAAACCTGCTGCAGAAGTCGTCGGGCGTCATTTGTGAGCCGGAGAATCTGCTGCAGAAGCAATCGGGCGCTGCTTGTCCACCGAACGACGAAGCGGTAGGCGACTGCGGCCAGCCATCGGATCGTGAAGACGACGACGCCGATTCGGGCATTACGACGACGTCGTCGGCCGACATGGTCAGCCGACCATCTTCCGACAAAGGCGTGGTCGGTAGCGGCAGAAGCGGAGGCGTCGCCGTCGGCTCAAAGAAATACCAAAGAACGTGCACGCACTCGCGACTCTTCGACTTCTTGCAGCGCGATGATGACGACGACGCCGACGACGACGACGGCGCAGACTCCAGCAACGGCGCGGACTCCAGCAACGGCACGGACGTGAGAAACAAACCGCCGCAGTCGTGCACTTCCGGTTATTCGTCGGCGGCCACCACGCCGTCCACGCCGTCCGCGGTCGGCAGGAGTCGGACTTACGAATCGGACTTGGCCCGGACGGAATACGACAGTTACTACAAGAGCTGGGAGTACGCTTGCCCGTACTTCGGATACGACATACTGCCGTCGAAGGCGTTCAAGACCATCGCGACGCGGCTGCAGGGCGGCGGCGGTGCCGTGGCGGACTGCAAGTCCCCGACGACCATGGGCACCACCACCAGGTTCAAGTGTCCCAAAATTCCTACCTCGGAAGACGGATGTTAAACGCGTCTGTTCCCCGTCGCCATCCCCCTGCCCACGCACTTTTCGTTTCTCTCGTTTGGGGTTTTTTTTTTACGATTTTATAAGGTATTATATAGCATACGCGTTGTTTGGAGTCTGTGAACGGTTGTTGTTTTCTCTCCGCAGTTTATCTCATTTTCTATATCTGTCTTGCGAATACTCTCTGTACACATTCATTATTACCTACTCCGTCAACCTCGTTTATCCACACACACGACCTCATCACCTATGAGAAAAATACGCACAATATACGTTAGTAACTGCTCGCATTTGAAAAAAAAATATATATGCACTTACATACCTAGAATTGGTATTTACACGGCTACACTATCTGCACACAACACAATAATATAAATGCACGACACCGACTGCTGCTGCACATGCATACGCTCCACAAACCACCCCACTCTCGTGGGTGCCCCACGACGATGTACATACCTGCCAATAAACGAGGTTGAGGTGCGCTGCAATGATACGTGTGTATATATATATATATTATATATAATATATATTATACTATTAAATAATATTATACGTTATATATTATATTATTATAATGTCGTCCGAATCACAGACATCAATGATGTGTCTGTGATGACACTGTAAAATATTATATCCTCCCCCTCCCCCTGAACAACACACCCCGTCTTCTTCTTAGCTCTGTGCTGCGTTAACTTCTTCACAGTTGGGAATAACATTATAATTATTATTTTTTAATATAACTCCACCTTTTGGAATATACCGTTACAAAGCGTATATACGTGTTTATTCATTTTTTATGTATAAATATTTAATTATATTTATACACAGTCATTGGTCTAAAGTATCAAATATTTGAACGTCTTCGTTTCATTGGAATATAATAATAAAATAATATACACTGAACGGATGTATATTTAGATTTAGTTTTTAATCTATTATGAACTAATTATTTTACCGTCATAATATACGAAACAAAAGGTGTAGTTTTTTTGTATTTTGTTTTCGAACTTTTTGAGTGCTGTATACAGTTGTTGCTATATGTTTTACTGCAGACAGTGTTCCAAATGCCCGGTAGACGTTGGTTACATTCGGTTACTCAGAAGTTCCAGTCGAGACGTTCGAACGACCTGTTAATCTAATAATATTTTATTGCATTATACTTCGTCGCCGGCAACGTTTGGGACGCTTTAATTTGTTGCAATTAATTTACAAAATTTTTCACCAAGACTTTTTTCTTTTCACAGGTAATTTAGGTGAATCTGACTTCTGATTCGGAATGATGGTAACTACAATCAAACTGCTTTTACATTAAATGATTTATATTTGTATGGTTTACACCTTTTTGCTATATTCATATATGTATAAATAATTTTAACTATTTAGTATTGTAGGTAAACTGAAGTTTCATTAACACATAATTCTAGCTTAATATATATTTATGTTGTCTATATTATAAAAAAATTAATTGTAATAAAAACGGATGAGTTTGAAACCATGAATAAAAATCGTCTTCACAGTTGTACTTGGGCTTGTTTCGTTTGTGATGTGGTTGTTTGGCGAACGAGCCTGTCGATTTGCCAAAAAAAGACCAATACAAATCTCTATCGATGTCATTATTATTAGGTCAGTCGTCGGAAGACGCTGACCGATGGGTGCGCAAGACGATTCGACGGTGCGTAGGTTGATATCGCATATGTAAATAGCACAGCTATAGTATCTTCTAAACACAGTAACATTTATTAGTAGGTAGAAAAACGTATGTGCAATTAGTAAACTATCGCGAACGAAATCCGTTTCAAGCGGCTTGTTCAACATGGTATTTTTCTTCATTATTAACAAATCGCCATATTTAAATAATCATACATACCCACCTGCTACCCAATCGCAATTTCTGGTGCTTTGCTCAAGGAACACGCACGAATTAAGTCGACTTTAATAAGCGCCATCGTAAACACGCCCGCGGTAGACTCGCTCTAACCCATTTAAAAATAAAATATTGCCGTCCAAACTATTTGCAACAGTAATAATAATGAGTCGAAATGTTTTGTTTCGATTTGCCAACAATACAAAAACAACAACAACAACTCACTACAACTTACAAGTAGGTAACACAATCGCAACATCATCTAAATTCTAAACGGTGTTGCTATATATATACAGGGTGATTCACCGAGCATGCTCCCCCTTTTTACCTTCAATAAATAATATGCAGTTGTTCAAAATTTGTTTCTTGGAAATTGTAAAGATACTTGAAGACAATATTTCCAAACTCTTAACATATTTTTTGTATTATTATATTGTACACGTTTTAGTAACTGAATAACTTGTTAGAACTAAAAAAAAAATTATCCTCTTATTAATTCAAATGAAAAAGAGCGGTTTTTGTTTTAGATATATAATATTAATTTTGTATCTCTAGCCTCCGCAGAACAGTCTTAAAATAATACAAACAATCTCAAGAATTTGATAATTTGGTCTAATACGTCTAGTAATAATCTACAATAAGCGTATTGAAAAATTCCAAAGTAGGAATTTGAATTAATTTATTATTAAAAGAAAAATGGGGGGGCGAGCGTGGTTGGTGAACCACTCTGTATATTATATACAGTGTAGTGCTGTATCATAAAAATATCGTACACTCGTGTGTGCGCTCAAAATTATTAGACCTGAGAGCATACAAACATATAGCACGCACACACACACACACACGCATTCGCCGAAGTCACTGGGTCAAGTCTCTCGCGCACATGGCGTGGGCCGAACAGGTATTATTCATTATAATAATATGGTGCTTACACCCATCGGGGCAGACTTGCATAACGTCGACGACGAGACGTCGAAAGCGTTAAAAGACAGCCGCAGAACGCGCGGAACGAAGAGTCGACTTGGTGCCACGCTGCCGAGCAGTTGTCGATGCGGTTGTACAAGCAGGTATCTACCGGTGCGGTATAATAATTGTTGAGCGGTAACCCACCGGTCAGCGTGCAAATATCACTTGGAGTGAAAAAAGTCCGAGAGTCAAATTTTAGTTTTACTTTTGCGAGCGCTAAGAATGTCTACCGACCCGTCTTCGACCGCCTTAGTCCGTACTTGCAGCAGTTGCTGTTGACCGCACGAAACTGTTATTTAATACAGCAGGTGAATCTTTAATAACGGATCGATTCTGCCGCCCAAAGATGATGAGAAACGCGGTAAATATTTTATAATTTTACCAATATAATACGACATAGTTTTTATCAATATTTAATCACGTATGTGTACGAGTCATTACCTACGCGGCTACGCGATGACTGAATCGTCTGAATCATGGGACATTTGCTAGTCGCTCAACAAATTACTGGTGTCTTAATAAATAGAAGGAAGTCTATAATATGATAATATAATTTTTTTCTGAATTTCTACGGCGATATATATTTTAACGATATTATACTATAACGGCAATGTACAAAATATATAGGTGATTCAAGTTAATTTTTCAACGTCGAACAGTCTTATTTAAAAACTATCATTAATATTACTTGTATGGCAATGACATATTTTATTTCTATGAAATGCAACTAGGTATATTAGCCAGTATGGTTAGTCCCATATAGCATAGACAGACAGGTCTGGCGTGATGATGATGCGAGATTTCCCTGTGGCCTGGCCTGACTGGCTATAAAAATACCAATATTTTTGGTTCATTCTTCCTAGCCTATTTAAAAATGTTCTGACTTGAAATAATGTCCCAGTTCGCCCCGAAACATATGTCCTATATAACACCATGTGTAAGTACTATAATGTACCTAATATAATAAGTAATAGTATTTTTTGTGCTATTACAGTATAATTCAAAAACTGTTTAAAGCTGAAATGGTTAAAAAAAATATATTTGGCAGAAACGAATATCAGAGTTTTATGGTGGAGAGGGGATGCTAAAATCTGGGAACTGTTTTTTTTTGCTTGAAATTACCATGTACAATGTACACGTATAATATAAATTTTATATAATTAGTGCAACTTTGTATCATAATATCATCACAATTTCCATTAACGACTTTTAATAATTATCAATCACAGACACCGTGTGCCGGACCATTTTATTTTAACGACATGCGGTTAAGACTTAGAACATTTATTACCTAAGTAAACTGTAATTGTATTAAACATGAATTGAGGATGATAGCTGTGACAAATTTACTTTCAATTTGATGTGCTTAAACATATTTTATTCCAATTGCAAATCGTTGAAAAATATTATTGCAGCGATCGTGAGTAAACTAATTATGTTAACTGCAATAACAAGTTCTTTGAATAATAGTTATGACAACACAAATAAATAGCGAGTTAGATGATAACAGAAATAGAAAAAAGAGTGCAATGTTGTTTTTGATAAAATCATTATGACCCTATGGGTCATCCATTAATATATTTAACTATTAATTATTTTAAAACACTACCCATATGTTTATAATATGTACTATAATATATCCGTACAACAGTTGTGTGAATACCTCTATTAGCTATTAGTTATTACTTATTACTTACTTGGGTACTCTGGATCCTTTTCGTAGACTGTTAACTGTGGTTAAACACGTATATGGCTACATGTACAATGCCTATTGTCATATTGTACAGTTTATGTATTGTATGGAATTAAGCATTTAGATTTAGTTATATTATTAGCTAATGCCTAATAGTAAGTAACTATATTACGATGAGAATTGCAAATTCGACAAATCGTTTAATTTTTTTGACCCGGTAAATCGAGAGAATATGAACTTTTTATCATAGAATTTATGTATTTGTAGCGATGATCCAAATATCGGATACCTATCTATTGCTAATAATAATAATAATATATCACCTGAAATCAAATTAAATTATGGAAAGCGACAGGACAACACATGAAGATTTCAGTAACCTATATATTCATCAATTGGTGCAAATCGTTCGTTACACTTGATGATTTTATAATTAATAATATGCGTGTATAATTAAATGTTGCTTCATAATATATAATTTTAAAATGTTATACTACAAATTACAAATATTTATTTGAGTATACGATAAAATTCTAATTAATAAGCAAACTAGTACATTTTTTAACAATGATTCTATAAGATGTGTATCATCTTTAGTCCCTATTATGTATATAATACTAATATTGTTGTTTTGTTTGTTTTTATCCTGATGACGAACTCCAAAAAACATTGGGTAATTATTATGAAACACAAGAGGTAAAATACTAGAATGCTCACTCTTCACACGCTCGGGAAAAAAACCAAACTTTTACTCAGATGAGGTCATAAACTATAATATATAATAGGTATTTACTTTTAACGTATTTTACACATTTAAAAGCATTAAAAAATAATCACTCTTCGTCATAACTCATAAGTCATAAGTTATTATGTCCCAATAAACTGTGCCACAACCATTAGGCATTAATCACTAAACGGTATTACCTATATGTGCTAGTTAAAATTGAAAAGCTAGTTATTTATTGGTGAGTTTTAGTTTATCAAGTCAACGAATTGCACTGATTTGGAAGCTAAGGCAGTAATGCTAAAAGATAACTTATCAAAACAAAATACAATTATATAGGTAACTGATTGGTGTGAATGAGTGATGGTATCATAAATAAGCAATAACTGACTATGTATCATAATCGTAAATTGGGAGGGGAGGAGCTTAGCCCCACTCAAAAGTAAAAATTCTTGAAGCTCCCCAAAGTATTTCCTAACTTGGCCTCGTAAGTGTAATAAATTATGTTAATATGTGTTAATTATATTTTTAGCACCCCCAGATTTTAACCAGATTTAACCAAATTTACGGCTATACAATATATATATTATATAATATGATATAATTTTGTCAGTGAATACAAATAGCTGTAAGCTATATGTACGTATAATGTAAGAAATGCAGTGGGTTTCAGGTAAAATATTTGAAATAACTAATTTTATCGTTACTTAATTTCGACTAATTGATAACAAATCAACTGATTTTACCTAAATGACATAATTATTGGTTATACATCTTAAAAAAATTCTATTTACCAAACTTCAATCCAATAAATCTAAGCTTTGGGAGGCTTATTGGTGTAGCTTTTATATGATAGAACAGATTGAGATACATTTTCAACTTTTTTAGTTTAAGAGAACTGTTGTAGGCATTGATTATCTTGAATATCAATATGTTTAAAGTCAAACGTGTTTTTCACTGTGAGGTCAATAGGTTCACAACATGTTATATTTTCAAAATCTGTAACACATAATTAAATCTATATTGGTAAACGTTGGAAACAGGGCTGCAACTTGTTTGCGAACAATCTGTTATTTTTACTTGCAAAATCGGAACTCGTTTGGGCACAGTGATATTAAATGTATAAGTGTATAACTGGTTTGCGCACACAACAATAATTGCATTTTATCTATCTAACGATCTGGACACTGATAATCATCGATGTTCTATGTAGATTTTGAGATATCTGCACACAATGTTTTACTGAATCATGAGCCACCTACTGTAAAATTGTGGTCTGTACTTTCATTTAACATAAAGTTGGTTTACATTTTGGCACATATTTAATAGGTACATTAAAACTAACAATTATTAACATACATTTTGAACTTAAAGTATTTAATATTAACAATTATTAAAAAACAAGTAATAACTTGCATTTTAAAATGTTTGTTGATTTTATTTGTTTACTCTATAAAAGCTAAATAAAAGGTAGCTGCGCAAACCATGTGTCGGATTTAAGGTTCAACTGTTCCCTAACGAGTGGTAATTTTGTGAGCAAAATAATTGTCTTTTCAGTTGTCGGTATTTGTTGTGCACAAACCTGTATCGCCCGGGAATAGAACGACAGAAAATCACCGCTGTCCGCTGACCGCTTCCAAATTAGAAAAGTTCCAAACTTCCAAATCCTCTTAACTTGATAGTCTATTTGGATCTCTATTTAATATATATTGATGTCATCGACTCATATAGCATTACCTCGCATATACCTACTTGTCCTACTTATTATAATATTTGAATCATTTGAAAAGCGTACTCACGGATCGGATTGTTTTCAAATCAGACCGATTATTTTAAATAATACAACCATTTATATTCACAGTGTCTGTTGGCCGCCTTTTGGTTGGCCACGTGTACGATGGTCATCGTTGGCCATGTTGCCGCAGTGGAGTTCGATGATCAGAGGCAACTTTCGCCGTACGGAGATGACTATTCTTATTACGGCGGTCCCGGTGTGGCGGCGCCAGAGAGAGAGGAAGAGTCGGCGCGCACCCATCACGCAAAGCACAAATTGAAGAAGCTCAAGCTCAAGAAGCGACTGTTGCTGCAGTGCCTGTTGGGGCACGGTCGGCGGCGCCGCGACACGTCCGAGGCTTCCGGTCGCTTCTTTCTTCCGGTCGTATTGCAGAGCACCAACGTTAACGTGGGTTCCGGCGGCGGCGGATACGGCGGCCATCAGCAGCAACAGTCGCACCACAGCGGATGCATGCAAATGTTCGGCGATGACAACAATCACGGACCACTGAGCTCGCCGCCGTTGTTGGGCTCGTTGGGTTCGTTGGGCTCGCCGTTAGGCTCACTGGGCTCTGCGCTCGGTTCGCTAGGGCCGGCTCCGGTGACGGAAGAGCCTGAAGAGGGCGGCAACCGCAACTACGCTGCCAACTGGAACAGATATGCTAGACAGTTCCGCCGCAACTTTGTCAGGCCGCTGTACCGCCTGTTCTAGGGACTCACATAGTATAATCGTTTCGGCGCGCTGTGATTCGATTCGGTCGCGTCATTATTACATCTGTAGGAATCAAGAACAAGCGAAACTAATTCAGGCTTGATTATATAGTAATTATTGAATATGCTATACATAAAGCCAGTCCAATGAAATTTGACATATTTTATAAGAAAATAAGAAATATCCCAAAGGCTAAGGTACTCGCGGCAGTGGACTTAACAATATAATGTGTTGCCCAGTTGAAACAAAATGATTATCATTTATTTACCCACACATATTCTTTTGGTGTACACCCAACCGCTAAATATGTACTTTAAAATTTTAAAGTTGTTGTGATCGAGCCACTGTCCACTACCGCAGGGGTGTAACTGGAAAGTTCTTAAATTAAAACATTCTCTGGATTCCCGTCATTCAACCCTCTTTTATTTTCTATGTATGATACTATAATAGATGACGTTACCAAATAATAAATATACATTTTTATCTTCAAACCACCCATAAGTATATCGCTCTACAACCCTACTTCTTGCCTCATCGACATAACTGTTTGAGGCTGTAATATGGAAAACTGTTTAGTAGTGTAAATTAGGGAAAATGTAGGACAAGGCCCGGTGACTATAACAATATAAGCCGAATTTACGTCAATGGCGAGTGATCAATCGACCTTTTGGGAAACAATAAATAGAGATACCTAAAAAAACTAACTTAAACTACTGCCTACGACCATTTTCCTATTTTATAATAATAGAGCTTAAAAGGTACACCTGATTGCGCGTCTAAAGCATCATGTATAATAATATATTGGTCACCGACATCAACAGTTTTCTATTAATTTTTAGGTAAATCCTAGAATCAACCCTTTTGATTTATTGGACATTTTATTAACTCTTTATCCGTGCATGTAAGAAATTTAGGTACCCAGCCAGCTTATCGGGCACCTATAGGCTTTACCCTACAATAACTTCCCTGGAACCCACCCAAACGTCTAAAATAGAACTGGTGCCATGGCTATAGCATTACAGGAATTAGTAAATAATCTCCATACTAATGGGTTATCCCAGTTGTGAAAGTCCCTTTGATGTGTTTTTCTGTATAGTTCATGTAACCTGAATCATTGTAAAAAAATTAGCTGCTTAGTTAGTACTTGCCATTGTACATACTAGTATAGAATATAGATCGTACTTTTTTCAAAAATAAAGTTTTTAACATTTTTTTTTTTTAATGTATTTGTACAATTAAAATATTAGATGATCGACGATCGTGATTATTCTTAAGTTGTAGTAGTAAGTAGTAAATAATTATTTACCTACACGTAATAAATAGTTATATTTAGTACAAAAATTAAAAAATGTTGAGAGTTTAAGACAACATAGATCTAGGTAATAAACTAATAACTATTAAGTAATTCTCAAATCCCTAAGGTGTGCAAGTTATAAGGATATAAATTAAGTTAAGTTCAGTTCAGTTAAACAAGGTACAAATTAAAAGTTAACAAATAATATATTTAATTATGAAAGTTTAAAGTTAACGGAGAAAAAAGGAATAACTCAGTAAAAAAAGTTAGAAGCCAATTTTTTTTCATTATCATCTGGAGTCACACATTGTGATTGACAATAATTAGGTATATAACTTTCAATTTTTTTTTCAAACAATGTTGTTGAAAAATATTTTTGCATACCTATTCAATTTAGGACAGTTAGGTTAAGTAATTTAGTTATTAGAAAACTAACTAACTAGTAAATTACCACCTTCATTAGTTTTAACAGGAGGTATTAATTTAATAAATCGTGCATTAATCTACAGAGTATTAAAACGTATTATGCAATTGATTGTAAAGAAAATAATAAGGTAGGTATGTATTTATTTTAAAATTGAATTGTAATTCAATTTGAGATAGTGAAATTGTTAATATTTTTGATTTATTTATTTAACTAAACTGTTTTATAATTATGGACAATATATTATGCTGAAGTATGGATGAATGTATGTATGTATGAACTACATTTTATGGTTTATTTTCGAGTACCATTTCGTACTTTTCAACTTTATTTTCAGATTTTTTGTCAAGTTTATTTGTCAGGTTGTTTATAATTATTCTGAAGTAGCGTTACCAGAAGTCCCCTTCACTCAAGCTGTCAAACCCGGTAAAATTCTTATACACATTACTTATCGTATTTTTTTTTGTATACAGATTGTAAATATTCTTTTAGATAATAAAGAAAAAAAAAGTATAATTATTGTCAACATTGATTTTTTTTATTAATTGATTTTAAAGGTTTTTGTATTTAATAATTCACTTGTCCGTCTCAAGGTAGAAGAGTGACTTCATTTAAATTTAGACTCTCAGAGTACACTGCAGAAATATTATGAATGTATGAAATGAATAAAAACACAATAAATGTTCAGATGAATTCACGATTTGTTACTGTAATTTCTTGTTAATATGTAATTTAGCATGACCACAATAATTGACCCATTCACAATTGGAAAAGTAATATGATTAAAAATATAAAATGCTACTCTAAAGACCCTCAGAAAATGTAACAACTTTACATAGCGATGCATTTATTTTACAATAATATACATACCTATAATTGAATACATTGTAAATGTATTCAGTGTTCAAGCATGCTTTTATTAGTGTAAATTAATACTATCGAATTTCTTCATCTGTAATTTATAAATTAAATTTAAATAAGTAACATGAACATTATAACATATTAAATAATATCATGTCAATAGTAACATTATTCTCAACATATATTCCTCTGTGTAAAATAATTTATGAAATACAAATAATGAATAATAATATTAGACATCTAATAATAATAATATATAATTAACGATTATTAATGCGCGATTTCTTCACAATAGTAAAATTAAATTATATTTTATAAGGATATAATAAAATTTTAAAAGATAGTCAATAATATAAATACAATATTCCTTTATAAATGTTCACAGTATTTTAATTCAAATAGGGAATGTAATTTAACTATTTCAACAATACAAATTTTAAAATAATTATGCTATTGGAAGCCAACAAAAAATAACAAACGGGAGTTTTACAATTCATTATTTAAATACACTTAAAGATTAAACTTACAAAAAAAAAATAACATCGTTAATTTTTTTGCCAAGTAGACTTTTTTAATAAAAATAATTGTCATGTAAATGTGACCATAATACTGATAACCTCTCAGTAAATTTAGTGAATTGTTAAATATTTTACACTGAATTTAGACTAGATAAAAGTAGTTGGTGAAACGGGCAGTTTTTTTTATAATGGTAAACTATAGTACAATGATATAATAAATAATAATAAATAAAATAATTTTTTGTTTAATTGAAAATGAAAGTTTCAGAAACATTATACTAATATTTGGACACGAATAAACAATCTTAATAGTTATTTACAGAAAATACATCTTCACTAACTTGATTTAGCATCAAACTCTGACCAAGCGTTGTTCAGTTCCACAAAAATTAGTTTTGCAATATTTTCATTGCAAGTTCCGGTTTGCTAGAATAATCAGTGAAAATGTATTAATTCCTTTATTTTTTTTTTTGATTTGATAATACTTTGTTGAATTAAATGTTCTACCTTGTCAGGATGAACAGCAAGACATGCTTTTCTGTATGCTTTCTTCACATCAGCATAGGTTACCAAATTACTGAGATTGCAATTCCACCCAGATCCTTCCCATAATACTGTATGTAGTGTACCAAGTAAAGCTCTAATGTTTCCTTTTTTTCCTTCAACCCATTCCATAACCTGAGCAAATAAAATATTGTAAGAAGGAACACTAACAGTATATCATTACAATAACGATTACTTTTAGTTTTTCTGGGTCGATTTCTTTAACCAAATCTACTCGCCGCATTTCGTTTATAGTTTTTGGACCAGGATTAAGTTTTGAACTGAATGTGTACCCTTGGCTCCCTAAGAGATCTCCAAAAATATCACCGCCAGTTTTAGGAGGAGCTTTGGTTGTTTCTGATTCAATGTTTATACCACTGTAATTAGGTTCAGCTGGTGGCTTAGCTGACTTTGTAGGGCTACCTAAAATTACAAAGTATTAAAATATAAAATAGGCTCTTTAAGAAAGAATAAATTAACTTGTTTGTGAATGGCTTGAAAAATTCATCCAATTGTCCGTTTTCAAAAAATCAAAATCATCAACATTGGACTTTGAAGAAGTGAAACTGCCATTTGAAACGCTTCTTCCATTTACAGCTGTAAAGTACAAACAAATGTTGATAGGTATCTATTATCTTATAAACTCTTTAAAATGGCAACTACTTACAATTAGGTATTGTTATATCCTGTGGAACTGATTGGTTAACCCAAGAATTATTTATTTTAGGTATGCTAGGTTCATTTAAATTTAACAAATCGCCATCCTACGTATAAACAAATGTAAATGTAATTCTAAATAGGTTTGATGTTATAAATTTAGTCTTACATTAGAATTTGTTTTTGAAACAAATGGATCAAATAAAATATCATTATTTGTATTCGAAGCATTTACAAATCCTCCAAATAAGTCTTTAGATTCAGTCTTTTCAGGCTCAGGTCCTAATAAATCAAACAAATTATCTGGTTTTGATGTAACTGGTTCATCTTCTATTGAAACTGATGAAAAATTTAATAGTAGGCCTTCGTTAGGTTTATTTGATTGAACTTCAGCCTTTGGAGGTAGGGGTCTTGGGGGTGCTACTCGAATAGGAACATTTGCTGGTTCCTAAAAGAAAGACCAAAAGTTATGATACTTGTCATCGATAATGAATATATTTTATACTTTTGGTTGAACAACCGGCGATGTCTTGATTTTTTTATTTCCCTGGGGAAACAATTCTTGAAACTGTGTATTTTCAATGGAAGTTGAGAACAGAATATCAGGTTTCTTAGTGTTATCTCTTGTTTTGCATTGTAACGAGATTCCATTTTTATGTTGTTCCATTTCAATCTTCACATGAAACATATTACTCTGATAGTGTTCAGAACTAGCTAAGAAATCTAATTCACTCCTGAAATAAAAATGTATTCAACATTGATCTTAAATTTTCCATTTTCATATCATGAATTTATGTCAGAAACTTACTTAGTAAAATCTATTACAATATCTTCACCATCGGGAAACATCAAAAAATCAGAATGAAACTGTAATTGAAATATTTTAATTGGTACTGTTCGCCCAAGAACTTGTCTAGAATGGTATACAATGAGTGTGATGTCATTTCGAATTCCAGCAGGTAATGATTTCAAGGCGAGTGATACCTATGAAAAACAATTTTTTATATCTAAACAATGCATGATAAAATAATAATTACTTTTCCATAGGAAATATCATATGATGTTAATCGCTCATATTCCAGTTCTGTAGTTAAAACTTTATTGTAACCTTCAAAAATTTCTACAAACGGCCGACAGCCATCGCTAAATCAGTTGCAAAAATATTTTCAAAATAAATATAATTTGAACACTCAGTTGAGTTCTTGCAATATATGTACACCGATATTCTGTTCAAAATAAGATCATAACCAGGCAGCGACCAGTTTTCATCGGGCAACGGCTAGACGCATGTTAGACACTTCCCCTACCAAATCACAGAACAAGACCAGTGCTTTGAAACAAAGCTACGCCCATGAGCACACCTTGGCCGCAGGGTAATGATCTTATTTTGAACAGAGTGTATTATAATATACCAAAAAAAAAAAAAAATATATTCATACCGATTTTTATTAAAAAGAGGAACTGGTTCCATAATGAGTCTTCTTATGTTTATTGAGTCAATATTATGTGTGTGCTCAGTCGCAATATAATTTAAATACCTATTAAAAGTAAATCATTTTCATAATATTATATCAGTTATAAAATAATTGACATATCAAGTAATTGGCTAAAGTTTTTCCATATTTGTAACATAGGAAATGGTGATTTATCAAATGCACATTAAATCAGATTAATCCGCGTAAACTTTTAAATTACCTATTTTCCGAGGGCTGAAAATTAGGAGCAGACTTTTTAACAGCATATATAGTACAAACATTTTCAGCAGTATCTGATGCATTTGTATACAATAAAAATGCGCAAGCTATTAATGCAGAAGTACCAGAGTTTTCCTACAATCAAAAAATTGTAATTAAAATATAAATAAGATTAAATATAGTTTAAAAAAAATATTACTGTTGATTGGACAATGACACAAAGATTTGTGGAATTGTTAGTTAGAAAACTATACATGTCATCACAAACTGCATATATCTCATGTAAAGTAGGACATGTTATCATTTTTGGATGAACTTCAATCACCTTAACATTTAAAAACACACAATTAAGAATACTAAATTAACTAATATCAAATGGATATGCATTGACATACAACTGAACGTCCAATGGTTCGAGGATATGAATGTCCTGTCATGTTGTACAATCGACATTGTCTGGTGTCTAAGCATGAAGCAATATTTTCTGAGTTTGCATCTTGAGTAACAGTTAGCACGGCTAATTTTGATGTTATGAACACCATGTCTATACCAGATTTCACATTGACTGATCTATTTACAGATTGCAAGGTGTAAGAAGTCGTCTGTGAGATAATACATTTTTTATTTTCCCTACTATAATGTATGAGTACTTACGATTGGACTGTTTGCATTACTCGGTTAGATGTGTCTTTTAAATTTTTTAAAAAACTTCCTGCTCCACCACGTATTTGAGAAAATAAACCTGAATTAGGCATAGTTACTGGTGGTTGTCTACAATCATTTATATACAAACATTATTTTAGTTCAAATTACGTAAGCCTTATTTATACATTGTAAATTACTTTGCTACTACTGGCTGCTGCGGAATACTAGGAATATTAGATCCAATGGGTTCCAATGGTTTTCCTTCAGATTTCAATTTGTTGACATCTAATGAATCGATACTAACTTTATACATTTCTTTAATGCGCTCAATAAGTTTTAATGATTCAAAAACTGACATTCTCAATGAGGGATCTGGTTGTAAACATCCCTCTAAATATAAAAATGAAAATATTAATATACTTACATTTCATTAAAAGAAAATCTACATACTTATTATAGTGATAAAATCAGAGTATGAACTTTCTATTTGTGAAAATGAAAATCTTGCATTTAATATTGCTAGTTTATTGGAATCTTCAAATGGATGCCGATTACAACATAAAGCATAGCAAACACAACCTAAAGCCCACACATCAACAGCTGTACCAATTTCATGGTTAGACCATGTATCAATCATTTCAGGAGCACGGTACATTGGAGTTGTACACTGATTAAGCTAAGAAAAAAAAAAATACTTTTCAAAAATTCTAAATTATAGTAAATCTTGGTAAATAATATAAGTACTATGTTTACCAAGATAATACTATATGTTTAATTATTTACACAAATATTTGCATTAAAAAGGGTTTGCGCCTATAAATAGGATACAAATTAAATACATTTATACTATTACTATCACGCAGACAAAAAAAAATTTTAAATATATTCATATTGATTTTAGTATTTGTTCAGAAAATTATTTATATAAACTATATATAATTTTAAATAAATTTACTTTATCTTCTAAGATAGCTCGTTGTTGTGATGTCCAATTCTCATCTGGCTTGTAAACTTTTGTTGTACAACTTCCAAAGTCGCATAATTTAATTTTACCATCATCACTGATCAAAAAGTTTTCAATCTAATATTTATAAATGAGAAAAAAATTATAAAAGTTTTGAATATATGGAATTATTAGTACAGTAAGGGGCATTGTAGAACTCAACGGTCTTAAACATATTATATGTAATGGAATGGCAAAAGGTAACATTTTTTGGACTAAGCATAGCATAAGTAATTGGGTAAATTAAAAATGTAAAAGGTATATAAATACAGTGAAACCACTCTAAATACCGGACACTCTCAGTCGCTGACATTTTGTCAGCTATTCAGAGGGTTCAGATTGTAGAATGTTTGCAGTTGGTTCCCAAGAAAACTTCTGCTATTGAGAGGTGTCCACTATTAGGAGGTTTCCATAAGAGAAGGTTCCACTGTAATACAACGAAACAATTGAAATTGGAGACAAATAGAACTGACATAACATTAAGATTATCAACTCAATGTTTGGAATAAATACTGCAGACCACAAAAGATATAACTGCTAATTAGATTCTATCAACCAAAGACTTAATTAGTCACATGGGTGAAATAAAAAAGCTATCAATAAAGGGCAGTAAGATGATGGGTTTAGGGTTTCAGAGTCCTAACACTATGAGTTTTGTTAAATATTATTTGATTACTGAAGTTTGTCACACAACACAGACCTTTAGATCTCTATGAATGAGAGGTGGACTTTGACAGTGCATATGTCGTGTGGCTGAACACATTTGGTAAAATACTGAAGTAACAATATTTCTATGTAAAGGTTTTTCTCTAGCTGATAATAACTCTGCAACATTTCCTCCTAAACAATATATTAATATATTTTAGTAACAAAAAAGTAGATATTTTATGTTAACTGACCTGGACAGAATTCTGTTAGAATAAGATACTCATTTGATCCTCGAGGTGAATCAATTTTACTAGTAAATGCTGCTGCCATAAAATGTATTATGTTTGGATGACCGGATAATTTTTTCTAAACAATTGTAAATTATGCTTATATATAAAATAAATAGTTTTCAAATATAATGTACTTACAAGTACATCAATTTCGTTAAGAATAACTTTATCAGCAGCATCATCTGCTGCAAGTAATTTCTAAAAAATAAAAATAAATATAGAATTATTCATTTGCCACTACTTATATAGGTACTATAACAGTAATAAATTATAGAGTTAAAAATTATTAAAAATTCATCTTTAGATTGCACAGAAATGTTAAACAATAATATTAATAATATTCTAAAAAAAAAAATTGATATAGGTATTAAAAATGTGGTTAAAGGTTTATAGATTTAAAATATGTATTATAATCAAAAAACCGCCCCCAAATAATATAATCATAAAAGTTGCATGAACTTCATTATTACACATTGAACAAAAAGTAAAATATTATCTTACCTTTAATGCATACTCTTTACCAGTATCTTGAGCTTGGGCTACGAACACCATACCTGATCCACCTGAACAATATTGTAGAATATTAATGAAAACCTATAATCGACCACGACCGCTAAACAATTTCGGATCTCACCTTCGGCAATAAGTCTTTTTATCTTTAGCTTAACATTGCCCAATTCTACGTTAGAACCGACATAATCATTGTTTTCGGACGAAAAACTACTACTAAAGTAGTCTAGAGCAGATTTGAAAATATCAGACATTTTTACAAATAATTAAAAAACGTTACCGATATCAAATTACATCTAACTTTATTAAAAACCCATAACTAATTCATTGTGAACAAAATGTATTGCACCAAATTTCAAACGTGAACAGTATATTTACCAATATAATAACAATTAACAGTTGATGAGTAACGACAAGAGAAAAACATGATTGAAATATAACTCCAATAATTTGTAATGAATTAGTTTTTTACAAGTTTTAGGTACTATTTATTTATAAAAAACTTGTTTTTTTCTTCCTATAGTTATGTTTTCTATCTTGATGATGATAGTGTTATCAGTTAATTTTCTTTGTTTTCGACTACCTATATTCTTGAAAACTCATGACCGTTGTCGTTTTCCGGGTAGATCCGTAGCTTGTGCTCGGTAGATCCGTCACAACCACTAAACTCCTCACAAGAAGGACAGTCCATAACTATATACCTGTCGTGGTCACAACCATGAACTATGGTTATAACGTAGGAACAACTACAGATGTTTAGATAATTATCGAGGAAACGTATCCGGTCGACTCGAACATCACTTTAGTAAACAAAATGTTTATATGAGATTTAGCACGTAGTCCAAGTCATAAATAATAATAACAATGTCAATATGTCATCTTCATAACATACGTGTTTTTGTGATAGTCTTTAAACGGTAAAGTCGAATTTAAAATCGTAATTTTTTGTCCGTCCGTAAACACGATAACGTTGTCCGGTTTTGTTCTTTTCAATTTGTTCGCCAGATCTACTCTACAACTTCCTACAGGTTACAGTTATGGCTGGGTGGAACGAAAGTCAGTTAAGGAAGTATAACATAAAAGTGGAAAAAATACCTACCCTACAGTACGATGATCCAAAAGTAGACTCACTTCTCAGCAACAATGTAAGGAACTAAGTGTAATAATTTAATTGTTATGTCAGTGTGACACTATGCAGGTATTGCAAGTCCCAAGCAATGGTGTAATATGATGGTTAAATAATCTCATTCACTTTGAGTACCTAGTTTTATTACACTATTGTGTGATACAAATTTTCAAACACTTTTGGATAATAATATTTATTAGGAAACTATGGGATGCTTCATATTTATTCTGATGAAATTGTAGTTGACCAATTTCAATCCATACAATTTAAGATTACAATACAATATATTGAACTCGAGATTGAACTTAAAGGGATTAGGTACCTACCAAAATTAGTTTTATCGGTCTTTCACACATGCATCATAGTTAAAACTACATATTTTCAATTGTTTGTCAGCTTGAAGTGTACATGAGATAGTCATTGTTTTACCATTTTATTTTAGTTATTAACAAAAAATTTAATTTCAAACTCAGTATCCCAGAGGTAAAGGAGGACACCATGTCACAAAATAGTAACTTTACAGGAAGTCAAATTTTCGATTGTCTTTACAACTAAAGAAAATGGACATAGTGCCCATGTATATTATAGTGTATGTACATGTCCTTACCATAAAGACACGAAGCTAATTAAATTTCTTCAAAAATGGACATGGTGTCCTTTACCTCCAGGGTACAAAACTTAAAAATAAAATTTTTGAAAAGCAGGGAGTGTATTCTAAGAAGTGACTGATTGATCTTGTGTACATTTCATGCTGAACTCAAATTAGTTTTTATAATATTCATCACATCACTACATAAATTGTACTGATGGACGCAAAATGGGTAATTCTTACTAGGTATATTGCATAGGTAATTTAAAAAATAGCTAATTTGAACTTTTAAATGACATTGATATTTTTGATATTCTTAAGTTGGGTGGTACTGCCCCCTAGAGGGCATTTTGGTTCTTCAGGATGGTGGTAGGTTTGAAGGGTCGGACCACACATAGCGGTCAAGCCGCAGTGGTTGAACCGCTACATGTTGCGGTCAATTTTTCAATCGCGTAATGTGTGAACACCTATCAGGTGGTCACATTTAAAATCAAACCATTTGAATTTGTTGAGTGGTTCAACCTCTGCCGCTCGACCGATACGTGTGGCCTGGCCCTAAGAGTTTTTATTTCAATTTAAAATACTGGTTATGGGTATGTGAATTTTTTTGATTAGTTGGAAGGGGAGCGTCAGTTATCTTGGTGAAGGGGTACTGAACAGAAAAAAGTGAAGAACCACTGTTCTTTATTGTTCTAAAACATTTTTTTAATTTTCTTATATAAATTAATTATTTAGAAACCAGTACTAATCAAAGGATCCAAATTAGTTTCTCAAGTGCTAAAATGGGATTTGGATTATTTAACGGAGCACATGAATTCAATATGCTGTAATGTATTGGAATCAAAAAATCATGAATTCAAGTATTATGACCAAAAGAAAATCACGCCTAATATGACATTTAAACCAATCAGTCGACCAAGCCCTATGATATTTTCTGAATTTGCCGCAAAAATAAAAGATTGGAAAAAAGGAGACTCCAGGTAATATTTTATAAAAAAGGCCAAACATTTTTGTTTGAAAAATAGTTTAATATTTACATTGTTTTATTTGATATGAATAAAATTAGTTGTATTTAAGAATTCATTTGAAATCGCTTCAATTTTTAAGCCATAGTGTTATGTAAATAAAAAAAGCACATAGAAATATCACAAAAAATATTAAAATTTACATATCATTCATCTTTATTATATTATGATAAGTTTTGTATATCTGTTAACAATCTTCCTATTCATATGTACAAGAACACAATTAACTAATAAATAAACATACACAAACATTTTATTGATATTTTGTAAATCACAACAGGTGTTTGTTGAGGCTGTTAGCTACTTTTGGTTTTTTATTCAATGGTGGTGAAGAAACACACGGATTGTACATATTATGGTTATAAATATATTCTACCTAAAATTTTATTTGAATCAGTAAGTATAAATGAAAAACTGAAAAATATTATTATTATATGGTTAACCAAAAAGTCAATAGGATCCTCAGGCATATTTTTCATAATTTCCAATACTCCATTTATCAAGATAGGATTTACACATTTGATTAGAAAATCTATTATTTTAATATTTTCTAATGAAAAATTTTCTTCTTTTTTAATTGTGGGTTCTTTCAACAATTGAGCCAGCTATATCAACATAATACAAAATGTTATCAACACAAAACACTCATATTATGTGTATAAATATTAATAACATTATACAATGCTATTTAGATTACAAATGTTAATAATTTTATACTCTGTCCAGCAAAAGAACGTGCCGATTCTATGCATTGCCCTGCGTCATCCTGCTATCAAAACTGGTTTCTCGATGGCAGGGTGTCGCTTGGGGATGCGCATAAGAATGGATTTTGGTCAGCTCTCGGTGCATTCTCTCACTGGACAAATTATAGTGTATTTACATTTTTTTCATAAATGTCTTCTATTGCTAAATCTTCATTTTCAATTATTGTCGAATGAGTGTCATACATTTTATTGATTACAGCTTTTATGTCACTTACTTTGTTTTCAGCTTCATAATCTAATTAATGTTTATTAGTTAAATTTATTATTAAATAGTATGTAACTTGTAATCCTGACCTTTTACTTCTACTGGCATACTTATTAAAAGTGATTTAAACAGTCTATCAAATTCTTCATGATTTACAAATATGCAATTACTTGGAGTTATTAATAAATACTCTTTGTACATTTTTGGTTTGAACAAAACTTCTAAGTAATCGATTAAATCTCGATTTTTTCTTATTTCTATGTTACTAAACATATTAAGAAATGTATTATATCATAGTATTTAAGTTAGTTAATCTTACTCATTTTCTAAAATATAGTTCATAATTTCGCTTTCAGTATATTTAGAATCTAACAAAGGCCAATTCAGTAATTTATCTAATGCATCATCACACACTTGTTTTGAGTTTAAGTTTGATTGTTCTGCTTCCGATTTATACTTCACTTTCCTCATAATATTATTTCCAACCATAATTACATCAATGATGATAGCTAAATTTATGTTAGAATATTAATATTAATATTTTTTTTCTTTGTATAATTTCATAAATAATACTTGGATGTATTTCATCGTCAAAAAATTGTAAATCATTTTCTTTATTGGATTCAAATTGCTCCAAATCAAAAAGATTTTGAGCTTGTTCAATATTTTCAAGAAAATTACAAATTATGTAACCACAGTTATCCACTCTGTTTTTTAATATCTTATTTTTTATAAATCTATAACGTTTTAACTTTTATATTTTAGTTAGTATGTCTTAGTTTAATTAATCGTGTAGATAGATCAGTCTTAACTTACGGTAATAAATATTTATCAGAAATTTTACCATTGTCTTTGAAATATTGTTTTTGCTCTTCCAATAATTGTTTGTTACCAAGTGTTGGTAGATTCTTTAAACTATTTTGCTTAAATTCCTGACTAGATTCATTATATTGTACATCTGATTTCTGTAGTGAAATATTATAAATTGTTGTAAGTTTTTGATTAACTAATTTATTATTAGTTACATTTTGTAACCAATAAAAATCAATACCATAGAAACTATTTTCCGAAAACTAGAGATTTAAATCTCATTATTTTTTAGGTTATAAAATAATAAATATTTTATTATTATTTGATTATACATTTAAATTTCAATAATATGGGTAAAAGTAAAACTTTAAAAATATTATATATTTTACAAATATGTTGAAAAATTCTTCGCTGATTGTTACTAGATCAACAAAGTACAGGTTGTACGTATGTGCTAATTTTTTGGCAAAATGTATAATTTCATGTGGTCCATTGATGATAATGTTTTTCTTCTAAAAATAAATATACATTTTAACTGAGGTTAGGTTTTTCATTTATTTAATATTCATTCTAGTTAATTAATTATTTTTTTCAATCATTTAAATTCAGTTTGTTTGCTTTTTTAAAACAAAATACAGATCTAGCTAATCTTAGGATGAGTTATCAAAGTATATGCAAACTCGTGGGCCCCACACAAACAGGTTCGGTAGAGCCCATTATCTTCTTGAAGAATAAATAAAAATAAAATAAATAAATAAATATTGCCTTGACTTATATGTATTTTTTTCATAGGTTTGATCTACTAGTTTTACCATAAAATGTATTTTATATTGAGTAACTTACTTCAGAATTTTTTTCGTAATATTCAAAGATTAATGTTTTAGTTTCAGTAAAAATTCGGGGAATAGATTTGTCTAATCCCATAAATTGTGTTATATAATTATCAATAACAGGAACTATTTGAATGGACATAGTTATCATGTCATAGACGGTTTGCTATAAAAAAACATTAATTACAAATTTTATAATATATTGAATTATTACTTAATTCTTATATATTGCTAATATAATTTTAGAAATCTGTCAAATATTTTATCATCAAGTGTATTATTATTTATTACATTTTATTTCAAATGTATATAATATATATATATTTATTTTTCTCAACAAAGTGTTATAGAAGAAACTTACAGTTACCCATGCATTTAGGCATAAACTTATGTAATCACAGTATACATAATTTTTCTTTTGAAATTGCTTTATAATACATTTGGTTATACTCCGTAGACTAATTGTAGCGGTTTCAATGCCAACTATGTATGGTTTTGTCACTTTATCATAATACAAAACCAGATTTTTAACAATTCTAGAATGTATAAATTATATTGAAAATAATCTAAATTATTATAAATGTTATATTTAACTTTGCAAGATTTTCTACATGTATAATAGGTAAGTTATTGTCTTCTTTTGGTACCAATAGTTGTTCTGTGTCACTAATAACCATTTTATATATGTACTTTAACATGTGCTCACCTTGACCATAAACTAAACCTGGTGCTAAGATTATTCCATAAAAATATCCACTGTACTATGAAATATAAATTAGAATACATGCGTATAAAATATTTTATATGTTTGAGGTTGTTTTGTATACCTACTATATCATTTAGTAATAATATGCAATTTTCCATTTCATAAAACGATTGAAAATTTGGGTGACAAATACGATCCTTATAATCATCTTGAGTAATTGGACTTGTATTCTTGTTAAAAAGTTAAAAGGAGTTTAAACTACTTATATTTGGTCAGTATAAAATATAGATGATTACTTTGTTTTTAGTTAAAGCCCATGTTTGTATACTTGATATAAGTATGAACACTCTAATCCCACTCTCTCTTGCTACAACACTTTTTGGATGACATTTTATATATTTAATTTCCTCAATTATACCTTGATAAGAAAAAAAATATTTTAGAGTTTTAAATTTAAATTTTATAATATTTGAAATTTGAATGAATTATTTTACTTTGTAATGCTGTACTAGCTTCAGTTATTTGATTTTCAGCCAACGATATATCATACACAACAACAGCACATTTTTGTATTTCTTTCATTAGTAATACTTTATTATTTGAAATAATCAATTTTTTTACACGTTTCAGGTATCCATACTAGAATTAAAATTTGTTATTATTTCTCGAAAATTGTTAACCATAAATCTGTTCATACCCTGTCATTATTTATGTTAAATTTATTTTTTACTGTAGTCACTATATCATATTTTATTGGTTCAATGTCTTCCTTCTTCACTTTTATAGCAGGTTTAAGTATATTATACATTGATTGGACTTCAATGTTTCTGATGTATTGGAATTGTATTGCTGGAGTATCATCAATCACCTCCTCATTAATATTTGTTTTGTCCGAGACTTTGTTCTCTTGAATATCTCTATCATCAAACACTGATTTAACACTGTTGGTTTTTGAATTTTGACTTTTTTGTGACAGAGTACTATGGAATGATTGTGCTTTATATTTTTCATTGGGTATATTTTTTTCAGTTAGTTCAGTATCTAGATTTATGAACTCAATGTCCGTAAATTGTGCTTGGCTGATTTCCTATAATTAAACTTTATATGAAGTATTTGACTGTTCTGAAATGTTTTTGATTTTTACCATTACTAATTTTAAACCTCATGAAATTTACATACTATTTGTAATAATATAAATACAATTTCAGTATTTGTCCAAGATGCAATCTACATTCAAAACTATAGGTACAACTATACTTTGTTGGACACGTATGCTATCTTTATGTTCAAAGATTATCTTATCTGTATACAATTATTAGTACTTAGCTGCTGTAGGTTTTCTACTTAGCCAATGTCAATCTTTTAGGTTGAATGAAATATAAGTTTTTTCCATCCCGGTTGAATTATTCAATTTATTTTTTTGGACTCGTCAAATACTATTGTGGATAATAATGATGACTGATGGCAAATGTTTGGTGCCAATATAGTTTTAGAGTTATTCAATATAATGCAACAGCAAATTTATTTATTTTATATTTAAATTGTATTTTAAAGCTGCATAGAATACGCAAGATATACTCAATTAATGTAAATTAAGCATATCTAACTTAATCTAAATTATTAATGTTATTCCTGTTAAATGTTTCAGTTGTGTCGAGTGACATTAAATTAATTTGTATAGTTTAATTTCTGATTTCATTTTATCATAAATATATGCTTACAGATTTACTGCCAAAGCTAAATTAATTTACTTGTATAATGTATTTGCCATGATATGAATCACCATTATTTACAAATACCCTGTTTGCAGCATACTTAATATGAGCTTCTAAATCAGCAATTCGGTTATCTTCTTGGATGATATGAACCTTTCTTTTAGATGCTTCAAAACCAAAAAAATCATTTTTTTCTTCAAACTTTGATAAATCAATATTGTTAATAATTTCATCTTCATTATTAGTCATTTTTTTATGTAAATATTAACAACACCATTCACTTAACATATAAATCACATACAATGTCTATAATGAATACCTGTGTAATGTTTATGGTTGAAATATTAAAAAAATGAATTATTCTGTTCTATTTAATTTTGTTTCTATGGGAACATCAGTGAGTTAAAAATAAATAGTTATGCATATCATGTTTAGCACTGTTATACTAAATAACAAATAATATTGTATTGTGATTTTTCAGATTATACATGCAACAAGTATTGAACAACTCGATTAGCCAACATATTGTTAGTGACTTTGTTATGTTCAATTGGGATTGGATCATTTCAAAACAAAAAGCGTGTAAATGGGGTTCTCTGACATCTAATCTTCTTTTAATTGCACAAGAAGGTATAATTTAACTAATTATTTTAGTTAGTAACATAATTTACAGTGTTAAATTTAGTGTCAAGTCTTTCCAAATAACTTGGGTTATAATTTCCTTGAAACCTGATTTTTTATAATACAGCATGTTCAATGAAGTATTTTGATTGTATTTAAAAATATCTTTTTTGAACAATATTTCTTAAATTTATTATTCATCAATCATCATTAACTCACATATACTCTGATGAGACTTTGGTATGATTTTCGTTACAATGAATATATAAAACAAATTTTAAGTGGACAAAAATATGCATTACATTCCATATTACTTAACTGATTTAATCCATTGCTGTTTGGTATAAATAAAACCATACAATTGATGATAGAAATTAATCATTATATTTTTTGGTGTAGGTAATGTTACTCCGTGTCATTACGATGAGCAACAAAATATGTTTGCTAGCATTCGAGGGTATAAAAGATTCATTTTGTTTCCACCTAGTGAATTTGAGTGTTTATACCCACATCCAGTTCATCATCCTTATGATAGACAGAGTCAAGTAATGATAAATAATTTCTTTAAAAACAATAAATAAATAATTTGGCATGGTTTTCTTTAGGTAGACTTTGATAATCCAGATTACATAAAATTTCCAAAATTCAAAGAAGCTTGTGGATATGAAGTTATAGTTGGACCTGAAGATGTCTTATATATACCCATGTATTGGTTTCATCATGTTGAATCATTGATGCATGGTGGCTGTACAGTTTCAGTAAACTTTTGGTTCAAAGTAAATTATATTAATTTTAATTACATGTAAAGAACATATCTATGTGAAGTTTAGAAACTCTAACAACTAACAAGGGTATGGAATTAGTAAAAGTATTGTATAAATGAGATTTGAATTTTTGTTGTATGCAAAAAAGTAAGTAGAATGGGAGAAAACTAAATCTTGGAGAGGGGGTTTAAGATAATATACTTAGTGTAACAGGGTTCAACATTAAACCTAACTTAACCTTTAGTAATGGACGAGACTACAAAAGATTTATAAGGTGAAGAGGAGCCGTGATACATAATGTTTGCAAATTATGTGGTGTTAGCAGGAGAAAGCCCGTAAAAAATGAATCAGAGATTGGACAAGTGGTAAGCAGCACTTGAAGAGAATGGACTATCGATTAGTTGGTGAGAAAAGCAACTGTGTATGAGTTTGGTGGAAGTTATCTGGGGATAAATATCTCCTAATTCCTTGACCGGGTGTGTAATGAAAATTACTCGCACTTTAAATTTGGGACTTTTCGAATCCTAAAATATTTCACTGTATGTAGTTTCACATAGTTAGTACACACATATATTTTTTCTCTCTATATGCTTTCGCTCATTTTGTATTTGCTCTTTTACGTTCTCTTTTTTTCTTTCGCTCAATTGTCGGGATACCCAATATAATATATAATGTGATGAAGTGGAGAGAAGCGTCATTTACGTCTTGTGTTTTGTGTAAAAAGAGGATACCAATAAGATTTCTTAAGATCGTAGTGGGGTCAGTAATGTTATATGGATTGGAATGTAAAGCAGTATACAAGAAAATGGTACAGAAGATGAAAATGTTAAGGATGTGTGCAGTTTGTGACGTGCGTCAATTATGGATAAAATTACTATGAAGGAGAATAAGTTGAGTAGTTATGTCTTACGAGAGAAATGATTCAGAGGTAGTAAGAAATGTTATGAAAGTTAGTGTATAATAAAGGAGAACCAGAGGATGACCAAAAAAGCGATGGAATAAATGGAATAGAGTAATATAAAAATAGTTGGTGTGAATGAACAATAGGTAGGAGATCAAATCCTATGGTGCTGTAGGATGAGGATAGCTGACCGTATATAGTTGGAATTGTAAAGCAAGGTAAATTGAGAAAAAGAAAAATAATTTTTGTAAAGAAAATGACTATTATAATTATTTTAGGCGGGATCCGTTGAAAAAATTGAGTATCCTTTGCTAGACCACCAGAAAATGGTTATCATGAGAAATGTGGAAAAAATGCTAGCAGAAGCATTACATGATCCAAATGAGGTTGGTAAAATGCTGAATACGATTGTTCTAGGTCGATATACGTCTGACACCAACTAATAGTTCCCATTAAAATATGTTGATTAATTAAAAAAAAAAGATCTGATTGAATAATATTTATTCAAACAATAAGGCTATACTTAGTTTATACAGTACAAGGTGAATTGCAATATTTTTCTACTAATGTTAATATTAGTTTTTTATTTTTAATAGGATTTTTAGTAATTCTATACCTGGTTTAAGTTGTTAAGCTTTAACCATCACCAATAGATAGCACTTATACGTATTATTTTTGTATAATATAAACCTAAGTTGCATATACTGGATTTATCTATGAACTATTATTATAATACGAGGCATACTTACTGCAATATGACGTGCATATATGCAAGTGACTACTATGCAATGTAGTGTACCAACACATGATTCAGATTTTGCCCTAACAGTTTCCATAGCCTATGCAATTCTTTTAAATTTTTTTTCTATTACAAACGAAATTAACAAATTTTGGTGGCACTTCTCATTGTTTCATGTGTTTGCGATGAATGGTTTGTGCTATAGTTCGATCCAGTGTATATGATCAATCTACTTCAAATACTTGTTAATCATAAGACATATTATATACTAGTCATCCATGCTCTACTATAATCACAATTATCTTTTTTTATTATTGTTATTTTATTGTATTTATACTATAGTAGAGTATGGACAATTCAAATTCACATTATCCAAGTGTAAACCACACTATGGAAAACATAACGTATATATAAACCTTAATATTTGATACTAATAAGAATACATTTTGTACATGACTTGTACAAACGGTTTGGTTTTAAAAATGATTTCAAGGCTGACTAAAAAATAACTAAATAGATACACATAGGTTTAATAGATTAATAAAATAAATTATTTACTATTTAGAGTACATAAGTTATATTACATTAATTCTATTAATTTTATCTAATTTTATTTATTTATTTTTTCATAATCTTCTAATCTTTAATTGATTTTTGTTTTGTTCTCAATGTGTATATTTAACATTAATATTCTATGAGATTATGATATTCCTGAACTTACATTGATCATAAGTACTAAGTACAAAGTTAAAATGTTTAATTTTATGCAATTTCTTATTTTAGGATTGTATTATAACATTTTATTGATATACGTGTGTTATTTAACATTTGTAAATCTAAAACAATTTTTTGTACATAGTTTAAGCTATTATTTTTAGTTCCTATAATGTATTGAAACATCATTTTATGAATAATTTTTATTGAAATGTAATTTCATTGTGATTTTAATATTATTTTATATGTATTTATTTTGCTGTTTGCTAGTCTTTGTGTAATATTTTAACTTATTGCCTAAACAAATTAAAATTATTTTTAAAGTACTTATTTTTGTTTGATGCTGGTATTACATTTTATAGACAACTGTATTTTATTTTAATTATGGTATTAGGGGAGATAACAGAACTAATAAGTATACAACAGTATTAATGAAAATATTTAAATAACAAATTAATTTTTAATAATAGGCAAATTCTTTGTTGCAGTAACCAATAAAAAACATGTTCGTATTTTAAATGGAACAATCGAAAGGTATTATGTGAGGCTGGACAAGATTTTTAACTCTTAAAATTAAGTTTATATGAAAAAAATGTGAGTTTAGTTTAAAGTCACTTTTTTCCAATTGAACTTATAACTTTTACATACTTAATTAAAAATCTGTCATAATTTTTTTTTAACTGAATACTTACAATCCACGCTAAGCACAATAAGTAAATTAAACGAAAGCTCAAACTAAAATATATAGTCAAAATAATACACATAAGACGTGTATTATTAACACAAAGTAAGTCCATCTAATTTTTGGGCCCTATGTTCTAACAGAAGTTATTAGTTATTTAGGTAAATTTTCAAATTGTTGGTACTTTAATTTTTCAAAGTATCATGGCGATATGTCAAATATATCTCTTTAAAAGTTGAGGCAAGTTCCTTCTCCCTTAGTTAGAAAATGCACGGCAGTGGTGCACCATACTTTATACATGGTTCAGGTTTCACCGGAAGAGTCAATATGTACTAACAATTTTGTGGACTCTTTTGGGATGGGTGATCAAAATTGTGTTTTCATTGCCAACAAGCACCATAGACTCATATTTTCTTCTCAGCAAATCACATGTAGAGCGTGAGTCCAAAACTACAGCACATTTACACATTTAGGATCCCTAATGAATAACAATGAATGTATTCCTATAATAAAATATTCAACTGAAATTCAATCATTACAAAACAATAATTATTTATTATAATAAAATAATTGTTAGTAAGACAGATATAGAACTTAGTAAATCGTAGATGATGAGTACATGGTATAATTATATAAGTATTTATATATTTTAATAATGATAAATTAAATAAAATATAACAAATTTTTAGAAAAATAAAAATAAAATTTTCGTTAGCAATTTAAAAATGTATTGTTTTAAAAATATACATAATAATTTTTGAAAAAATAACACAATTTAATTATTTTATTACTAGTATACTTACAAAAGGCACCATTTTGATTGTTTAGCAACATGTTCTGACTAGATACCAGATATATAATAAATTATAGATATAGAATAATGCTAAATTAGTAAAAAAAAAATGTATACAACAATACTAATATAATTTTAAATTTATGTGGATATATTTAACTTAATAATGTAAACTATATTTTGAAGTTTGACTTTAAGTAAATAATTATTCAATGTAGGTCTGTCACACATTTCATTATAATTCTAAAAATTAATTTCTAATCAAAAAAGAATAAATAGTTAGTTTTACAGTTGTACATACAGTAGAAATTATGTTAACATATTATAAAATTGAAACTAAAATATTGTCGTGAGGGGTTTCATCTCAGAACATCATTATTTTTTTTCAGACTGTCTTTAAATATATTTATTGAGCCAACAATTTCATAATATTAAATGTGTAATCATATAATATAATATATGTTTGTTATCATAATTGTATATGAAAACAAATAAATCACAAAGACCCAAACTTATTAACTGTTTAATCAAACTGTTTGTCGGCTCGACGATTAACATGCATTTTTGTTATTCAAACTTATATAAAATAAAAAAGTTGCATAGAACAGTAATGAGTATATGTACAAAATGTATAGTAATACCACATGCATATCTAATAGTGATTCACCGTCAATAGTGTATTAGGTATGTATTGCATGTGGTGACAATTGACAACTTTAACATATTATATATTTTAAATATCTACTTAAAATTTTTTTTGACTAGAGGCATTGGTTTGCCGCTGTCAACCAAGTCTTTTGCGGTACTAGCAGCAGTCGGTCTCATGAATCCCAACGATTTCCTGGAGGGTGACATTCCTGTCATACCGGATCTGCCTTGGTTCTCTTTGAAGCTAGTGCTCAACGGTTTTGGCTTTGGTTTGTTAACAGGAACTGCAATGCTACTGCCACTGCTACTGCTTCTGCTAGCCATAGGTGTATCACGGTTGTGCAGTTGCAATGCATTCAGTGGTTTTTTGGACTTCAAATCTGTTGTCAGGTCGTTGATAGCTCTTGTATAGGTTGCAATACCGGGTATCTTTTTGACCGTGCTGACAGAGTTTGAGCTATTTAGCGAACTCCTAGAGCTGCGCAAACTACTTTTGGAACTTGATCTTTCAACAGGCTTTGGTGCACTTGTGGTTCTAGCTACAATTGGCTTTTGGGCGGCTGTTGATTTTATTATAGGCTTAATCGATGGAATAACTTTTACCACTGGTTTCTGAACAGTCAGTGGAGTTCTGAAACTACTTGTTCGTTTTGGCAACTCAGTTTTTCTTACTACTATAGGTTTAATAGACGACTTGAGTGAATTTGTTTTTCTTAAGGTAGGCGCAACGGGTCCATTACTGCTATTAGTATCGTTACTTCCACTACTATCAGCTCTAGTTATCGTCTTTGGGATTGGTTTTTCGGTTTCAAAGTTACCCGAAGAAGTCTCCTGGCTTAGTGATTCGGCTGACATCAAACTCACAGATTCTTCAAAACTAAAAAATAAAAATAAAAATAAATCAATAACAATCCTCTAAAGTAAAGGAAATAATAAGTAGGTGCGTAATATAATCAGTTTTATTTACCCTTCATCATTTAAGTCGTGTTCAGTTCTAATTTTTATAGGTGGTGTTAAAGCTTGTACTCTAATCTCTGGTATGAACTCGCTTTTCAAATTTATTGATGATTCATCATTATCATGAAGATTTATCTTAGTCACTCGATCCAGAGCTTTTGGCTCTATAATACTTTTCTCTGGAGTAAGCTGTCCATAAATTTTTACAGCTTTCATAATATCACCATGGTCTACAACACTTTGGTTTCTGGTTGTCCTAGGCATAGATGAGTATAGTCGGTTTCTAGAAAAGTCTTTATTATCATCTTCAGATGTTTTGTACATTAGTTTATCTTTCCACTTTTTCAACCGAACATCTGTTTCCTCGTTGGTTTTTGGTGATTCGTATCCTTCCGATTTTCGACCTAAATCATCTTCTGGAGTTTTTCTATATCTTCGGGTACGCCTGGCTGCTGAAAATCTATCAAATTGACCGTCACCTAGATTTTCTTCTTCAACTGTTTGAATTTTTGATGGAATTGACTGAGGTTTTACAATTTGTCTACGTGATGTTGGGGGTGTTTCTATATTATCTGAATCAATGTCAATTTTATCAGTTACATCCCCTGGATTAGTAGAATCTGAAGTTTTTCGTCTGGGAGCAAATGGTGGTAATAATTTTTCTTCTGGTGAATCCGGACAAGGTAATTGTTTTCTTAATAATGATGGACTTCTTAAATTAGTTTTTATTTCAGGCTGATCTGTTCCTCGAATATAAACTGTTAAACGATCTTGATTTGAAACATTTTGTCCTAGTTTTTCAATGAAACCTTTTCTTCTGTCTTCTTCTTTGATAGCCTAAATATGAGTTATAAAAATAACACTGAACTAAGTTTTTTAAATTACAGAATGAATATTAAATCTATGAACTTACATGTAAGGGTTTGCTATGGTTATCAAAATTAGTTATAGAAGTTGGTTTTTTACTTCTTTTCAAATTACTGTCAGTTTCTTCTGATGTATTTGGTACATTTAAGTTAGATTTACGCCATTGAGATTTATCTTTGACAGGAGGTTGAGCTTCTAAAACAATTAAAAGTTAATATTTTAGTTCTTGGTTGATTCAAAGATTTTACTTACCAGCAATTGCTTCCATAACGCCAACGACATCGGTTTTATCAATAGTGGGTCTCCAGTCAGCATATACTCTTTTGTATCCATCTTTGTTAGCATCAGCCAATTTTCCCTCGGGTAATGTATCCAAAATGCCACTACGGCCATCACTCTCAGAGTCATTTTCTAATGATCGTCTATTATTTTGTACTCGCTGAGTCTTGCGTCGTAAATCGTCAGAATCTTTATCTTCTTTTTCATTCTCTTGTAACCATGCTTCAATCTTTTGTCTCCATGCTCTATAAATAAATAGAACAATAATTTATTTGTTCTTTGACTTAACCTGTTTTTTTCAAATATGTATTTTACTTTGGCTTAGATTCTTCTTCAGGAGTTGATGCTGCAGTAGATACAATTGACTTTGTTTCCACTACAGGTGATGGCGAATTTGCTCGCTCTCTATCAGCGCTGAAATCAGCACTTAATAAGTCAGGTCTCTTTTTACCACCACCTCTGAAT